TGAATGAATCTCTCTCCTGAAATCAGTGATGCTAAGCCAATAACAACCACCAAAATTCATAAGAAATTTAGGATATTTGCTACTTTCAGTTCTGATGCATGAATATTAACTACACTTGGACTGACATTTTCTCTTATGATATTTTTAGCTGTTCCTCACATTTAAGGCTACCATGACTAAAAGTATCCGTATCTAAACGCAAATTGGATTATTACTGCTAACATCTGAAAAAGTACAGGACTGACACTCTATCAGAGCATTAACTCTTAGTCGTCTGAGAATAAAAATTTAAGTTGCACTCCAGTGAACAGTTACAAAAAAAAAGAGTCAAATTTCAGAGAAACAGTGTCATTAAATTTAGAAAAGCAATTTTAAAATATATTTTGTGCTAAACAAATTTACTGAAATATCACTAATAAATCCCTTATATACCACTTACCTTACATACCACTTACATAAGTAAGTGTGTCACTTCTTTACCTGTATGATGAATGTATTCTTCAACTTATAAAAATTATTAAGTAAATTAATAAAAGGACAACACTTGAAATACCAACAGTGGACTTCTATTCCTACACTTGAGATCAGACAAGCATAGAATTAAAGTTTTCATCAAGATATTTCAAGAAAGTAAATTTGTCAAGGTTGGAGTATGTTTTATGAATATTAGATTTAAAATGTAACAGCACGGATGTCTATAAATACAATCTTCATAAAAATTTATTAAGTCTACAACAGATTATAATGACAGAATCTAAGTATCCCCTCTTAAGAGTTAAAGAAACTAAAATCTATTAATATCCATTCAGTACTCACTTTTAAAGTAAGAGAATCATTAAGACTGGAGAAATGAGTCTTACCTCTAAAGCTCTGCATGAGGGAGAAAGGGTGATATATAGCAATTATGATTTGAAATTTTCTGGTGTGAGATCCTTACTGACATGGCCTATGTGAACTGGGATTTTAAACTGTATTTAACTTTCTGAAATACAGAAAAAAACGATTTTCTAATAGCATTTTTTGAACTCAAAGAATTTTTTTTCCCACAGTGAGAAAACTTCTTTGAAAAATTAAGATTATCTAGGTGGAAGTTCCTCAAACAAAGACTTCACCTTTTTTTTTCTAATCTGATCACTGGAAAGTTAAAGAAAAGATCCGACAAATTGCTTTCTGAACATCCTCGATGCAGCTATATTTTTGCGTTGAATAAATTCATTCAGCAGGCTGCTTCCAATTTTTTTTAGAATACAGCTTAAGAGAAGCTTACAACTGAGAGAGAAAAGTAGAACTTAGCCAGTGCACCAAGTCCTTTAGAGCTTTGAAAACATTTATATTTTTACATTTGAATTTGATTTCAGGCACCACTGCAACTATTTCCATACATTGTTTATAAAAACTTGCTTACAGTTGAATTTCTCGAACGGTATTTCTGAAGTTTCTCTGAAGAAGAAAATCACTGTAGTATAATGAATTGCATATAGTACTTTACTTTTCTTTCTCTTATATAGTGTATTTTCAATTGTTGTATAAATTTATAATGTTAAATTTTAATTAACTAATTAGTAGAATGTAGAAAGGAACTTAAAAGTTTCTATAGATATTTATAATTACATAAATATCACACAATACACAGTGTTTATATGCTAGTTTTCATGAAATACTTCATCTGTTATTCCAGTGATTCAAATGGAAATAACTACAAGCCAGATTCAACAAATTCAACTTGCTGATATTTAACATCTGTAAAAAAATATATATAACACAAGCCTAAAATTTCATCTTTCACTTTGTTTTTATAAGAACCTAGGAAGTTGCAAAACTGCTGTGTCTGGTTTTTGACTTTCTTAGCTGTGCTAACTGTGTTCTGAATAAATGCTTGAATGAGACACAGCCACATAACACCTTTCTGCTCATCGAGTTTCATTTGGAAAGAAAACTGAGATGAAATGGCAGGAAGAAAATGATCGTGTGCTCCAATGTGTTTGGAGCGCAGCACACAGGTACAGTTACACCAGTGAATGAACCTCCTCTGATACAGTTGAAGTTAGTGCCTTTTCAAAAGGCATGGTTTTTCTCATGTCCAGGACCAGAATTCCTGCCTAAAATTTGAAAGAAGGAAAGCCCAGAATAATCAAAAAAGGAAGCCATCCAAGATGAGGACAATGCTGAAGCCCTCATCCGAATTAGGCACAAGAAGACTCTAAGCCAGAGTTCCTGTATCTCAGATAACTATGATGACCACTGGGCCCTGGGTACACACACCTTTGTTAAAGGCTCAAAGGAAAAATCACAGAGTTAAATAAAACACAGATCAGAAAAAAATTATTCCCAGTTCTACATATAACCACTGTGATTATCCCCAAAAAGGGTGAACACCCTTATAGTTTTATGTAGGAATAGACAGGCAAAGTCAGAGACAGAATCCAGTTTACTCAAACACTGACCTTCTTATATAGCATATAGCCTTTTATTAAATGACACAAAACCTCTGCTTCCTGTACCCTTTATTTCACAGCTTCTGACACAAATAAAAGAGAAGCCTTCAGTAGGTTCCAACAGGACACTAAATCATGCCCCTATCTTTCAAATATAACCGAAAGTGAATCCGAAGTCTCCTCAAAATTAAAATCACTACCTCAGCTGAAGGAAGGGCTCAGAAGACCCAATTCATTCTGAGAAAGAAAATGCCAGAAAAAATGCCAGAAAAAGAGAGGAATTTCAAGAGTTGTAACAGAGGATTCAAACAGAAACTGAGGCAGACTGTGTAACAGAACAATATGTGATTACACACTTAAGAACTGTTATAGCATAGAGGTATAAGATGCAGACTATGAATTCATCAATTGTTTGAGTTTTCTTATTTCTCAATTATTGCAACATTAACAATGCTCATTCATGTAGTTTTGTGAGAGAGATGGCAACAGAAGCAAAAGGGTTACACTGCACATAGAGCAATTATTCCAGTTTCTTCTAGCAAATAGACTATAGAACTCATGAACCAAAAAGCTGCTAGCTAGAAATGAGCGCATCTGCAGCTTCCCACATAAAGAAAGCATATGCAATCTCTACCTTCACATTTCTATCTTGCATGTCTCTGAAAGCAGAAAAATATTAAATGAGATCACAAGGGAAAAGTGTAATGTGGATAAATGTCCTCTGGCAGTGACCACAAAAATTCACCTTCATTTATGATTCAGAGCCAAACCTGTAACCAGGTCTGCACAAATTAATACGTTAACCTACTGAGTTATCTGCCCTATTATTATGATTTAATATGAGACATTATTAATTCCCAAGAACCTCAACATTGTAATTAAGTTCCTTGCCATTCTGAGTGCCAATTCTAAACCTAATGTAGAAAGCCTTTAAAACTAAATAGCTGGAAAAAAACTATAACAGCTGGTAGACATATGGTAACTCATTAAAAACAAACTAATTTTAGGATTCTAATTTATAATCTATTATCGGACAATTGGAGTTACAATAATTGGCTTTTGGGTTTTTTAAACGGAATTATCAATAGATATTCCACTCAAACAGAACTTTGTTTTTATATTTTATTTGGGGTTTTTCTGTGTGGTTTCGGGGTACTTTGTTTTTGCTTTGGCCACACAGTGTCCACTGGGTCTGTCTCTACGCTTCATGGTTCAGATCCACGCCACTCACTTTTAGTTATATTGCTCAATTAAGAGTCTAATGCTTAGTAAGATGCATCTCAGCTTAGGTATTCTCCCCAGTGATCTCCCGCAAGCTGTCACAAGGCCAGCTATTACTAAATATCTTCCTCTACACACTAGCCAAGTGTTAGTAAACTCTACAATAATCAGCACAGTTGAGAAATATATCCATAGAGCATTTATGAAGAATCACAAAACTGGCTGTTCTCTCTGCAAGTTGCTACACGCAGGCACCAGATAACATCCAGCAGGATTTTGCACTAAAGGAACCAAGTGCTTGCTGCTGTAAGACAGTTCTACTAAAACAGGCGCTAAACAGAGATTATAGGAAAATAATTCATTATAAATCTAATCTATGTACCATAGACCATTTTACTTAAATTTAGAGAAGCTTATTAAAAACATGACAAGGTCAGACTCAAATTACGAGCTCTCAGCTGGAAATCTATTTCTTTTGGATATAGAGGTATAGACTGATCTTATCACCAGAATTATTCAAGACATTTGAGCATATCCAACATAATATGCTTCTATGTAGATAAAATGAGAAATGTATTAGTATATTCAAAATCCATTCAAAGTAGAAAATTTGCCCAAATGAGACCTAGGGAAGATGATATGCAAATAGATTATCCATAATTCAGACAGGTCAGAAACTGCTTTAGGCAAAAATGATGGGAGAAAATCTTCTCCACGTGAGCCTTCCTTGCGTATTTCTTCCTTGATCATCATTAGCACGCCCTCACTCAGTGTCCCATCCAAAAGTAGTGCTGAAGGATACAATGGAGCTAGGCTGAACAAGTGGAAAGGTTACCACACCAGGAACTAGAAGTAATAATTTCTATGGGTTGCACGGTTTTATCAGATTTGAATACTGGAACTGCTTAGGCCAATCTGAAACTGGAAAGGTCATTTTGTCTAATTCTACTCAAACATCATGCATACAAATTCATCATGCAGGGGTAAACTGATCTCTGAAATAGGACAACATTTATAACCTGGAGCTGTGGCCTCGATTACATTCCTCTATGACATTAGAGCTAAGGCAGTACAAAAATTATTCTAAAAATTCCTAAAAGCTAGCTCTTAAACACACCACTATAAACGCACAGGACAATGGCAGAAGCTTCACAAACGGTACTTGCCAAAGGATGTTGATCTTGGAATGCAAGAACACAAGGAATAAAATGAGTAGGAGTAGACAACACCATCCTCTACCCAAGAAACATACTTTCAAGTTGTCACAGTACCTGGACAAATTATAATTTTAGAAGTCTACAAAAGGAGGACTACAAGGGGGAGCATAATGAAAAATTATTTCACCTTTCTGACAATCTTTCCACACAATTTTTCGATTCTTCTCATAATGTGTATTCAGCCAGGTGAGGATGATTCGCTCATGTGTAGAATAAATATTGCTGGATAAAGGTTCTGATTTTATTCTTGGCACGCTCTGCATGCCTTCCGAGTCATACAGATCACTGATATTATGTGAAGAAACACGTGGAAGGACTAATACCTGAAATTAGAAAAAGTGGTTTTAAACACAATCTGTAAAAAGTACCATTTCAAACTGAATGATTAAAAAGAAGAGGAATTCAAACTCAAAGAAATTTCCAGTTTAGTAAAGGTTTAAGAGATTATACATCAGCATAACTGCACAATATACAGGTGAACAGATCTGTTGAGGTCTCAGGGAATTCCCTTACCTCCTTAAACAAAATGTAAATCAAAACTCTAAAATATTGTTTCAAATATTTTTCTAATTTTTGAGGAAGTGGATTTTTCTCATGTTTGATGAATCACTGGACCCTTCTGGATGTCAAGAAAGACTGTGTATATTCTAACAGAAGTACTAAGCACTGAGCTACCAAACTGATCTACACCTTGATCCATGGATAAGCTTGAAATGGTATCTTTCATGACCCACCTGCTTCTTTAGATTGAAATGAAACCTACAATTTCTCCTGAAAAAAATATATTAAATAATGCCTATAGTAAAATTATATTAGTACTCAGAGAATACTAAGGAAAGATGTATGATATAACCAGAATAATTCTGCAGAACACACAAGAACAGAACTGGTCCTAGCCCAAAAAATGAAATAAATTATGGCAGAAGCCGGTGAGACCCATCTCCTCCCCAACCCAGCTTCTTTTTGGAGGAGGGAGTGGACAAGGAGTATAAAAAACTAGCCCTGTTATCAGCATCATGGTATTGTGTATTTATGGCTAATTTCAAGTGAGCTTGTTAAGGACTAATTGTTTGTGGGGAAAAAAAAAGATTAAGAAGTAACCATTGGTGGTGTGTATTGCAAATGAATGCCAGCCCAATAGCTGTTATTTTGAACTGGGACAATTGTGCAACTGGTCCACTTTATCTTTCAAACATGCCCAGTGACCCCTAATTCCCTGATACACACACACACATATGTACACAGACACATTTATGCATACATACGCACACTGCAAATACAACAAAATGTTTCACAGTGGGCATTAGAAATAAAAGGCTATTTCATGTTATCTAATCAGAATGGAAATGATTTGCAGCTCCACTAATTATTTCTGTTCAAATCAGTTTCCAACACCTGCCTGTAATGTACATGTTGAATAGGCCCTGATTTCTTAAGAGGAGAAAGTGTTAAAAGATCCCTTTAACTCTTCTTTTGCTTCGGCTACAGCAGCATAATCTTTCATATAATATGATGGATGCAGCTACAGCCATGTGGCATCACAGCTCCAGCATCTCCATCTGGCATTTTTTTCCAGTCCACAAGGACTGTATCGTCCACTGCCTTCACCTCTCCTGAGGAAAAGCTTTCTGATACACTAATAGCTGAAAGCTAGTTAACTATTGATGTACACAACACCCAAATTACCCTACCCTTATTTAGTTACAAACAACAACAACGAGTTCAAACTGAGATTCCACTAAAACTTTTAAGGCTAATAACTATTCAACATAATGCAGTTCCACAGAGCCAAGTAAATTTTGCTTTTACTTTTTTAGAAACAATTGGCTTTCTCTCCATGATATTTTGAGCTGCACAGTCATATCTTAAACATAAAAAATCTAAAACTTAAACAAAAGTATCCTCAGCTTTAAATATGAGGAAAGTGATCAAAAAGGTAGCTAAGTATTGTTTCATGCCTTTCCAAAAGGTAGCCACTTTGTAAGTTAACCTATTGTGATGTTCCTTCAGTAAAACTTGACATTCTATCACGAGGATCGAACAGAAAAGAATAATGGCAACTGCATTTCACAGAAAATATGAGATGTTATTTACTCACAAAAAAATATATTTTGATGTCTCCTACTAAAAAAAACTCCAACCCATCCTAATCCAAAATGCCAATGTCTACATTTAGACCCTGCTGAAGGACATTATCACATTGTGGCCTTTTGTAGTACACTTTTTATAAAAATGTTCAGGGGCAAAGAAATGCTATTACACATGACAATCAACACCATTCTCATTAGTAAATGCTTACTAAATCTACAGCCAGGTTTTCTTTCCTGAAAATCTGACCTGAGTCAAGAGCTAATATACTTCATCTATTGTCACTCCATGCATTTTCATTATTCTACATATCTCATAAACTTAGGCTAAAAGCAGTATTTTAGTCCTTGATCAAAAAGAAGTAATATAATTATGATTTATAAATTCTCCCTCTTACTCTCCACATAGTCTACCCACTCTTCAGAAAAAAAACCTGAATTTCCATTTCTGGGAGCTGGAGTTATATGCATATATTTTCCTCTGGGATTTCTACAACAGCAGAAGTTTTCATAACAAGAAAGTGGACCAAAATAATATGGACATGAAAGAAATCTGGGATGACTTTTTGGTGGATAAAAGCAATGCCAAGTATTTATAATAGTAAAAATAGTAAAATAGTAATTTTATTTCTAAAATAACATTTGAATAACAATACAACTCCAGTGAATGGATGATTCTTTTTAAACATACTCAGAATATTGCAGCCTGCTTTTTAAGTAATGAAACAATTTTATCTTGCCTGTCTTGAAATCAAGTTACCATAATGACAAAAACTCGTCTCTACTTCCCTTTTAATGAAACTGCTTTGATGATACGACACATACTTTCCACTTTATATACTTTTGCAGTATATTTCAACATCATCACCAATAACTAATTTTGCATATAAATCATCCTCTTACTGCATTGAGAGGTCACAGTCTGCTTGTATTTACTATTCTGTTTACCTATCTCCCAGCATTCCCTTTGTCAAACAACTTTGAGCAAGAGGGTACAGAAAATAAAATAGGAAACTGATCATTAGTGACCAGTTCTAATGCAAAGTCATGTTATAGTAAAAATTCTGCTTATGCATCATTATATTAAATAACATATTAGGCACAATGTGTAAAGTTGTAGCATAAAAAATAAAGCAAAGAAGTACAATTCCAAAGACATTAGGACAGATGAATGAAAAAAGATGAATGTGAAGACAATCAGTACAGAGTAGCAAGATGATGAAATAGCAAATGAAAAGCTGAAATATGCTCAGGAAACTAGAATGACTAAGATAACTTCTTCACACCAGTTCATCTAAATCAAAACTACTGTCAAACAGGACCTAAACCTGAACTGCTTTGCTATCCTCAACAACCAAGTGTTCTGCCCCTTTCTTGTGTCTACACCAAATTTCTATAAAGTTAAACCTACTAAGTGCAAACTATTCTAAGTTGGCATTTACCTTACTGAAACATTTGAATACACTGCTAAAATATCAGAAGAACATTTAATGTGTTCCCCTTTAAACTAGTCTTAGAAAGACTCTGTTAGAGAAAAAACTTTTGAAACAGCAGTATATTTTTAAACATGCAATTGAAAAAATCTTAACTGTACCAAAGATTTTTCTCAAAACATTTTATCATCACTTCAGAATCTAAATAGCAAATACATCTACAATTTACCTTGTATGCCTGCAGTAACAAATCTGTCCAAGCTCGTTTGCTCATTTTCTCAAATGCACTTTTCTCCAGCATAAATAAATGCATGTCACTCCATATCTTCAAGTTCGTCACATCACCTTTTTTCAACACTGCCGTTTGAGCCTTCAGATAAAAGAACAAGATTCATTTTCAATATTAATCTCAGCAGTATGGTTTGGAAATTCACAGGACTATAAGAAAAGTGGGTAATGAATCAATGGCATAAATAAATGACTGATATATCTACTGTAGTGTGACAATGATTAGAACAAGGACAATTTATAATCTGCCATTGACAGACTGACAGGAGTTGAAAACAGCAATCAGAAGAGACAGGTAATACAAAGGAAATTTAAAAATGAGAATAATGGGTAGAAAGTAGAAAAACAAACTCCGCTTTGAAAAGGGAAATCACTGGAAATTAATCACATATATTTGATGGGAGAGAGATGGGGAAGGAAAAAATTGGGGTTTTTAAAGTTATACTCATATATACTTACACGTGTGCTTAGATTTCTGCAATATCAAATATCATCACAATGGGACTACTCACAGTGCATAGAATTTCCGATAGCATTCGAAAGATTGAAAGTAGAGCATATTTTTTTAAAAAACAAACAAAACAAAACACATACTACCTTCAGAAATGTTTCTGCTGTAATCCACTTCCTATAATCATCAGGCTCAAGCAGAAATTCTGGCAAAACATAAGGCAGATATGCGCCTCGGCTTCTAAATTAACAAAACAGAAAGAGTTGATACATAGGCAATATAATACTTTTTGAGGGTAGTCCAAATTAATCAATTCACTCTACCTATCTGTAAGCTGTTCAACCTGAGTGCATGCACCCTGCATTGCTGAGCCAGTTATACTGGGAACTATAAGTCCCACTAAATAACAGCATGGGAAGAAATGCAAATATCCTAGGTGGCCTTAAACTGCACAGATAGGAAAGAATGTCTATGAGGCAGGATCAAGGATAGCAACCACAAGAACCAGAACAGGCAGAAGCTGACAACAAGATCTGTTACTGCTAAAGGCCTAGGAAGCACTGTAGGAGATTTTATGTTAGCAAGCCTCCTCAGATCCCCCTAGAATAGCTGCAGAGATCTTTACTGGAACTATCTGGAATTAATCACTTAATATCAGGCTCTAAGTAGCAGTTTGCATGTCTCTGATTCACACCCCAAAAAGGAGGATGTCAAGACTTTCAGACAAGGCCTGCTCAGGCCTGACGAGCCCAGGTCCTCTCACCGAGTCCTTGAGAGACACTATCTTTTCCTTGCCCCAGAGCAGTGTTAACAGAGCAAGACCCTCCTGCATAATAATTAAGCAGAATGAGTTTCAAGATGGAAGACTAAGTGTGCCCAGATTCCCTGGAACATTCAGTGTTTGCATTGAGATTTAAGTGCCATTAGAGTCCACCACAAGAAAGTTTTAACTTTATCAAGGAGTACTCCAAAAGTATCCTGTGAAAATTCTTTAAGGAAAGCTCTATGAATGACATCCTGTACAGACTTTCTCTGTTAGGGAACTTGAAGTATGATGTATTCAAAAGGCTAAAAAATCTGACTAGCTTCCCTGCCAGAAGACATATACATATATAAAGGTTAAAGGGAAGATATTTCTGATATAACTTTAGTGTGAGTAGATTTAAGATAATGTTCTTTTATTTCTTAACTATATCCTGGAGAAGTATTTTCACTTCTGTTTTTAATGCTATGAACGAATGCTTTTATTTACATTTTACCATAAAGAATCTTGAGACAAACAGCATATAATAAAGATATTACTAAAATAAATATATAGATGATAACAAATAATAATAATAAATATTAACTATCAGTATGAGAAAAAGAGAAATGTTTCCCAAAGCTGCTACTATCCAAGTAGCTTTCTGGCATGCTCAAAGATATTGAGTGACATACTTGAACTTGGAGGATGACAGATGTAGACATCACTGTCATCTATTGAGAAATGGTGTTATTTTCATTCCTAAGTGCTACCTCATTCATCAAACAATGGATTACAAATGAGATATTACAACTTTCAAAGCTGGGCTGAAGAAATCTCAGTCCTACAAGACCAAATCAAAGTCAGTATTATTTTAGGTTATGACGGTAAAATCCTATGCTAAAGGGATAAATGTTGTGAAAGGTTTTAAGTCTTGAAAAGTAGTTAGACACTTGTCTGTCAAATAATAGGAACTGAGGTGAATCAATCAAGCTGTAGCAGCTACCAATGAAATGATTAACTAAACTTAGAATAACAAAAAAAAGGTAATGGATTTGTGCTCTTGTGGCCAAGAAGGCAAACAGTATCCTAACGTGCATTAGAAAGAGTTGCCAGCAGGATGAGGGGAGGATGATCACCTCCCTCATCGCTCCTGGTAAAACTACAACTGGAATTGGCTTCCCAATATGAGAGCCATGGAGCTACTGGAGAGTGTCCAGCTGAGGGCTACTAAGATAACGAAGGGATGGGAGCAGCTCTCTAATGATGAAAGGCTGAGAGAGCATGATATTCTGTTTGCAAAGGTTCAGTGTCGTTAGAAACAGAGAACATCTTCACATCTTTATTAATTTTGTGAATATTTTATCTGAAAGGCCAAGATGGTTGTTGCATCTATAGACTCAGTTGTTCTACTACAGATAGCAGTTATTCTCCTATCTCAAGATTCAAGCAGCTTTTTGAGAAGATCACTAAACTTAACAAGCTGTGCACAGCACTTTTTATCGTTTTCCATCAAGCTTTTTGATTCAGGGCATTGAGTAAACTTATGGAATCTAATGAGGTGACTCAATGTTCCTGAGAAGATGGAATTATTGAAAGAACAATCCTATAATTGAACAGAAAGATATATTTGAGATAGCGGTAGACAAACAGCAAGGCTTTCTGTCTGCAAAGAAGTTTAAACACATTGTACTTTATCACATCTTAAGATGTTTAAAATGTTTATGTTGAAAAAGACACCCCCAAAAAAGTACCTAGCAATAGAATGATCCTGAATTTCGTCTGCTTTCAGATCTTAAATAGCTAAAAAAAGGCTCACTGGGTAAATCACTGTAGTGTAGCTACTGGCCCAGTTTTAAATGAGTTCAGATAACAGCTACACGCCTGTACATCATTTTCAGATGACGAGCAGCTTATATTTAGGACAGCAAGTAAATGACAGCTCTTAAACGGCTGGAGTTTCTTGAACACTGCTGAAGATGCTGAAAAGCTATGAATCCTGCGTTTCAAGACTTCTGATGATCTCTAAGACTTTCATGACATCAGGCTTTATTGAAAGTAATTTTCACTTCTGTTTCACAGCAGTGAAAGCCAAGAAGAATGAGGAACAATTTATTAACTTCTTTGATTCACAACATCTTTTACATCAACATATTGACATCAGGTGTCAAGATAAGACTATCAAAGAAGCTAGCTAATAACTAAATCCATTCATAGGGAGAAGCACTACTTCCATTTCTTGGAATATTATTAATATGAAAGATTAATAGATAACAAAGTAAGTTTACAAAACGCATCACTACAGCCAGTAGGACAAAAGGCATCAGTGGAATAGCAAGATCATCAATAACAAACATGATTTCTCTGTGATTCTGCCATCTCCTTAGTCTCCCTAAGGGATATGCTTGAAATTTGTCTTCTCTCATCATGAAGTTCCTCTGGGATCCCTATATTATATTTGTGCATATAAGCTACCAAAGGACTTGTTTTAGTATAAGTTTTACAGAATACCTTGCTAAAAAGTTAGTTAAAATTTATCACACATAAATCTTAGATCACAAAATATACAGGGAAAAAAAGAAGTGCCAATAAAACAGGGAAACCGAAGAGCTATATATTTCACCACACGTATGTACTTACTCAAGGAAAGTAAGCAGGGCAGAATGCTGCCAGCAGAGCTGCAATATTCCTCTAATTGGGTTAACAGACAATGACTGGCTGGATGTAATGCCTGGTACCAACTGTCCACTCAGATGGAGTAACATGTCATAAACAGTATCTTTGCCAAGCTTTTGCTTAAAAATCTCTGAAGAAGTCAGCTGGACTTTATACATATCACTAAGAGAGAAAAAGCTCCTGATAATATGCTTTAACATTAGCTTATTCTGTGTATTTAAAAATAAAATAATGTACCACTGATCACAATAAATTTTAATAAATCATAAAGAAAAAAAAGAGACATGGAAGCTGAAAGCAAGTACTTTTTACTTTCTATAGATCTTTAGAGTAATATAAGATTTTTAAATTGCATGGGATATTTAATAAGTGTATATGAAATATTTCTTAAGTAAATTCGATGAACGCCTGTACAGCCATATCTCAAAAGAACGTGTTCATCATTTAGCAGTAAACTAGATAATATCAACTACGTGATGCTACTATGACTGTTGTATTTCCAGGGCATTTGCAAGACTGTGAATAATGAAGTTTGCTTCCCCAATTGTTTCTTGAGTTTCAGAGTGAGGGGAGGGAGGGGGAGGCAGGAAAAAGACATATTGTTAAAATATTTCTCTTTGCCATCAAAGGCAGAACAACTGCCTTTAAAACTGTATTCATTCTAGGATCTAAATCAAAAGTGTTATACAGTTTTATCTGTCTATTTAACAGTCGATAACTTCACATAGCATAGATTTTATCCTAGTTGGAAATATATCTTTTAAAATAAAGAATTATAACGCCAAACATTTTTTTCATATTGCAGTGCTACAGTGGTAATACACAAGTGTGCATTAGAGTGCATTTATATTCCTTAGGTCATATGCAGAGTAACTTAAGAGGTTAATACATACAAGACAGCTTTTAGCAGATATAAATTACCGTCTTAGTGAATATGGTATTGAAACAGGATTTGGTCCCTTTGACCAACCAAAAAGACTGAACCAATTCTGAATAGCAGTTAGGACGTTTTGGAAGAAGATGTATTCCTCCTTCTTGTCATCGGGAAGAAGTGATAATTCAAATCTTTTTCTTCTCCCTTCACTTTGGCTGTCTGAGTCACTCATCTTTGAATATTCATTTTCAGAAATAGTATCTTCTTCTGAATGACAAAAAACACCAAGAGATTCCTTATTTCACTTTCTAGTATAAAAGGAACAGGTATATTTTTAATATAATCATGCTCAGAAATCTCAAAATTGTCATACAAAGGATGATCAGCTCCTATTTCTGTAATTAACTGTAATAAATGACATTTACATGTTTTGGGAACAGTACAAACCAGGACTAAATTTCAGTCAACAGTACAAACTAGTACTAGGACTAAATTTCACTTAAAAAATATGTATTACCCAATAAGAAAAAATACAGAAATTCAGACACAGCCTACAAAACTCTAGGAAATACTCTTAAAGAAACAGTCTTACTCAAAATTGCAGTAGATACTATTTTACCAGGTTGACAAAGCTAGTTTCTCACCACAGTGACAAGGTAATGGCTGCCTGACCGGTGTTCACACAAATTAGCAGGCACTACGGGTCTTAATGAGCCTATTTCTGGCCTGATAAGCCTTTGGACTCATCTCTCTCCTTTCCCCCTTCTCTCCTCAAAATCTTCATTTGGTTAAAACTTTTATTACATATTTTAACCACTAGCAGTGTTTGTTTATTACACAATTTATTGTATGAAAGATAATGAGATAAGCGTTTTCTTCACAGCACAAATACATGATTGTGGATCCTGTGCCAAGAAACATAGACTAAAAGCTCATGGCCAATAGCAATTTTATTGGGTTACAACCTTATATTTATAAGCAAACAAGGCGGTACATGTGTCTTACACACGCCTCGATAGCCATTCCAGCCTCGTCTGAGGCTTGCTTATAGCTGAGGCTATAACTTGAGATATCCAGTCACAGAAAAGGTCAGCTTAAACTTGTTCTTGTGTCTGGTCAGCAAGCCGCATCCGGGTTGAGACGGGTTCAGTCGGTTCTTATTTTTGCCAGTTGGTACCTTTTGTCCTTTCCCCTACACATGATCCCAGATGTATTTTAAAGATTCATTTTGATGTTGCTATTGTAGTGTGCTTCATTAAATACACATTAAATTATGCAAAAATAAAACTAGTATTTTGCACAATGAAAAAGTATCTGGTTAGGATTTAAGAAGAAAAAGCAGCACAATATAATAGGAGCAAAAGAGGAGACTCCAGTCTTTTCTAAGATGAAGCCAAACCTGAGCCTGTGCAGTAGTCCTGGCTAACACAGCTACTTTCCCATCCTGTCAGTGGCATCTCTGCCACACTTTACTGCCCTTTTAGATCTGGAACCAAATTTGCTCTGCTGAGCTCCTCTTACACCATTCCACTAAAAATTAATCATGTTTGTAAGCAGCTACTATTGAATGTTTGTTTAACTAACCCTACTTGTCTTGGCAACAGGATAGAGAACAATCATGCAAACAGCCCTACCAGCAGATCTGCCAGACTAGACCCAGAGGTTTAACTTCTTCAGCTAGTAAGCAAGCAGCTAAGATGACAAATGCCAACAGCCCATTTTTTCTTTTTGTTGTTGTTGTTTTTAAATAGCCTGGGTTTTTACTCCAGCTGAGCAGGAAAAGGCAGGAAAGTCTTTTCTGTTTATCCTGTAGCCCAGCTTTGCTATGATATCACTGGAAAGCCTCCACATTATTCATAGATTACATATGCAGACATCTTTCAAGCAAAGATTACAAATGTGAAATATGTGTCTTTAAACTCATAAACTGAAAAGCAATCTTAAGAGCTCAAAGTGTTAAAAGTAAACAGTTGTACTGTACCTGATCTGGAATCTTCATAGGTTGAAGTAGTGATTACACCAAAGGAAGATGAGGAACTACTAGAGGAAATTGATTGTGGAGTAACACAGAGATCCAAAATAGCTTCACTAGTGCTGCAGTCTCCCTCATTACTGCCTATAAAATAAGTTTATAAACTGTATTTGAGTGAAAACCACAGGAAAAGGTATTTCATTGTCTATGCTCTAACAATTCATAGTTATCTGATTTTTTCTTTATCGTGGGCTTCAATTTATCAGGGAACAGATTTTGTCTGACTCATGATAAATATCTTATTTCTGTCACGTGAATGCCAACAAAATATACCTGCATTTTTTTTTCCATTAATTGTGTTATTGAACTGAATGGATTTGCACACTTGCTGAAAAGAACCTACCAGAACAGCCCTAGTTCAGGAATTCTAAGCCATGAACCAAATACTCTTAAGGGGCAGGAGGATCCTAAAGGATCACAGCTCTCCATATAGGCAGTCTCAATATAACATCATCAAGCCTTTATAGGCTGTACACCATTTATTTTTTCCTCAAATAAGCCAAACTCAGAATTATGCTTTGTCAGTTGATCACTTTTTAGTGTTATTAATGATCTTAAGTTTTGTGTTGTTAGAATGCACCTTGTACATTTTACTTCTGTTTAATTTTTACTTCTGTTTATTTATTCTCATATAGAATGGATATCAAACTACATGACAGCCATTTCAGAATGGCCAGATAAAAGATACAAAAGTATTGCTTATCTATGGGACAAAATGGTTGAAAAATATTGTCATTACAGCTAAAAATATTTCTACTCTGTGACACCAGAAAGTTGGCTCTTAAAATACTGTTACGCTCCCCCCACTCTTCCAGGACACAGTAATTAAAAATACTGAAAATAACACTCAATGGTCAAGTAATGACCACATTTTATCATAATATCGAATGTTTTTTTTTCTTTTACTTTCTTCATATGAAATATATGAAATATTAATAATCTTTATAGATCTAATTTAACTTTTCAACTTTCTTCTTTATTGTTTGGCCTTCCTTTTCTACTCACACTTTAATAATATCATACAATCTATAAGTTTTAGATTTGTCTATTTTTAAGTAAGTAATATTTTGTATATTTTTTCCTTATTTTCAACAAGAAAATAGGAGCTATTAAACTATGCAATTTAATTGCTAGCATTGCCTTGCAGTTAATGAGCAAAAATGCCATCTTGATAGCATCCCTGCTACTGTACTGAAAATACGGACATACTACTACACAATGAGGTAAAATGTTATTGCTTACTGCTTTTGAAGATAATTTGTTGATCAGAACGGTGAAATGCCAAATAGGGGTATAAAGTAAGAAGGCAGTTTTCTGCTACTGCAGCAACCTGAAGTGAGAACCTATTTAAAGCAAAGAAACAAACAAGTCAAACCTATTAAAGAGTTATATCCATCTTCAATCCTTTTCTAGGAATATAGTTGCCTCCAAAGCAATTTTAATCAAATGTTTCCCAAACAAGTTTATGAGATGTTTACTTTATTTCTCTGTGTTATAGTTCTCCATGTAGCCATGGCAATCAAGGTATTTCAACACAAAAATAAACAACAGAAATAATGTGTTCAAGTAACTTCTTTTTAGTACATAAGTCAGAGCACAGGCTGAAACAGTGAAGATTCATATAATATTTCCACAACAGAATTTATTTACTTTGAGCATGCACAGGTCATTAATCTGAAAGTTCAAGAGTTAGAAAAGATTTACTTCAGTAAGTGCGCTGTTTCCCTCTGAAAACAAAAGCAATTAAAATTACAGCTCACATTTATGAGCATACTAAAGGTGATTGTGAAGTTGCTAAACATATCCTATAAGTTTCGTCAAGTCTTGAAAAGAAACTTCGATTTTGATTTAATGCTTTTCTATAAACATTTATAGATACCTCAAAATAAATATTTAGAAATAAATAGATTCAGTTTTAAAACAACGAGATACTGATTATAATTGCTAGAATATAACAGAAATTGATCTGCGTGTTCCTTTGCTCAGTAGAGTTTTGGCACGGTCTGCAGCATACATACTAAGGTGCAGCAATTTCACTTTTTTTTTTTCATTCTTGGGGCCAAATCTCTCAGGATGGTATCACCTAACCAAAATTATTGTCATTAAGTAACCCATGATAATTATTTTTACATATGCTCCTGGCTAATGGCAATTGAAAGGTACTTCAACTTAGCTTAGTCCTATGTTGCTGCACAGATTTTCTTTCACTTCACATTATTCCTGGCACAAAGCCATAAAAATTTCAGGGAAAATACATTTTAAAATAAAAGAACACGCCAATATTAATCTTGCATTAATATATTGAGAACTAGGAATATGGAAAATATACTTGGAATAAATGAAAATATTTCCCATTATCCTAGACTATATATTGAAGGATAAATTACTATTTTACGCAAACCTCACAAGACCTTTCTTATTGATTTCTAACAGGTCCTATTTATCTTCTATGGTTTTATTACAGAATGACCTGACAATACCAACACTTTATAAGTACCAGAAAGTAATTATGTTTTGTTTCCTCCTCTGTACTTCCCTCTCCAACTGGATAACACACTACTTTCAGGGGATCTTGATTAGGAAAAACCCTAACAAAATCCATATCTATATTTCTGATGTGTAAATATTCATATTCCTATTTCAATGTGATAGCTAATAGTCACTTAAACTTAGGTATGAAGTGTTTTGGTGTCTTCCTTGGCCATGTTAGCCCTTTGAGGGCCTTGGGATGGTGAGCATCTTGACCACATTCATGTTATTGGGGCATCTCTCAACAATGTACTATTCGTTATAGCGAACTTTATGGTCAGTAGAATGCCAGATATGGATATCAGAGGTGTATCTACATCAGCAAATATAAATGTATACATGTCCAGACCCTGTGTCAGAACGTCCTACTTTCTTCTACCTTCATCATGTCATTAATTTGGTTTGATAATACCATCAAGACATTCAGGATTGAGAACTCCAGCAGAACTCCAGTTTGCCTACTTCTAACTCATGAATTTACTGTGATATATCACAATACTCCACAGACATATATTTGCTTAAATTTAGACAACAAAATTATAAATACACTGCTGCTAGTAGCAGCATGGCTACTCTGTATTAAAATATTTTTAAATTGCAGACAATTAAAATGAAACAAAGATACAGACAACTGAGTTGCTAATGTATTTATCATAATGCTTTCATAAAGC